TCTTATCCTGTGGTAGATATCCTTAAGTTTTATCATACCAAGAGCCAATATTCACATAAAGAAAAGACTAGGACGGTGGAAACTTAAGCTAAAAGTTGTTTATTTTCCGTAGTGCTTACAATGTAATAACCTGGGGAATTCTCTAACTACCATTAGTAAGTCACGTCGAATATTCTAAGAGAGACGGCTGCTTTTTTCATCAAGTGGCATTATTATTATCTGTCATATTAGTGGGAGGCAATAACGACTCTCTTGAGCGTAATATAATCATTGTATAATACATTTGATAGATTTTTTTCTAGAAAGAGCTGTTTTGGCAAAGCTCTTGCAAACACGCAAAGGGGTTTGTCACTTTTCATGCGTCAATCATTGAAACTGGAGGTTTTAAAGTGTATTTCTGGCTGGCCCTTAGGGAACACTTTCCCATAAATAAATTTTGTATGGGCCGGGAATGAAAGCGATGATAATGAATATGGGTAAATTGAAGGTTTTCAACATAAAACTGAAACTATATACACAGGCTCTCATGTTGTAAAGTTAGCAAGCAACATAGAAACTCATTTTGTAGACTTTATTACTCAACATCATCAACAGCCAGTCTATTAATGGTTGGGTCTTCAGCTTGGTTTAAGGCGCGGGAGGTCGGAACACCATAGCTAAAGGAGAAAATGGTAAACGGATGAATATCACCACAGGAACCCCATACATAGCACGAAAAGAAAGCAAAAAAAGAAATCGTTTATTCAAGTTCTATCAAACCAAGAAGACCAAGACGTTCACAGCTTGTGCCAATATTCTAGTTTTAGTGCAATGCTAATTGTTCCTAGAGGCTGCACGGCTGTTTTGGTTTACCTAAAACACAATCACCTACAAACAGAAACATTTTTAAAAGCACTTGTAAAAACACTTAAACCACCCGCACATATCTGGTTGTTTGCAAATTTTTTTTGTTTGCAATTTTGATGCATATTTAAAGGACAAGAGCGCAAAGTACTCTCTTAGACTGTATTTACCKCGACTTAAAACGAAAGGAAAAAAAATTGCAAACAACCAGATCTGTGCTGATGTTTTAAGTCGCGGTACGTACAG